ATGTGCTTAAAAACAGCCTGTAAAAGTACAATTTCTAATCTACTGCTTCAGGAAAGTTCTCTCTATATATGGTCAAATCCTGGTCAGGATGTTTTGTTATGAGCTATCAGGATGTTATGTTATGCACTATCAGGATATTAGGATGTTATGGAGTACTATGTTATGTTCTTTAGGAGTTTGTTTCTTCCTATGTGGTTCAGTGTGGCCGCGCATGCCCCGTTATGCACTGGGCCATGGGTGACCATTACGCCTACACAAGGAATTATATTACAACAGTTCCCCCCCCCCCAAACATCAGGAGAAGATTCCTAATAGCAGGGAGTTGGCCCTCAACGGTACAGACATTTTTTTGCCAGAGGCGACTCGGATAGTGGTGGGGCAAGAGAGAGAGAGCTAGATGGTCTCTTAAGGCTCCCTGCCCGGAAGTTTTTCCGGCTCTTGGGCTGCAGCTGCTCCTGGGCCCTTTTCCTTCCAGCCGCCTGCCGTGTTCCTCCTCTGTACTATTTTAAGCCCACCTCATGGTGGATATTCTCCCTGCTGCTTATGAGAGAGAGGATATAGGGCCCCTCCCACGTAGCAATAAATCAATTACAAACTCAAAGCAGAGGAATAACAATTAATGGAGCTACAACAGCTGGGGAAATGATAGGTGCTTCCTAGGGCACCACAGAGGGCTCATCTCTTTGGGCAGAGGGTTCCAGTCTTGCACTGGGAGGGGGGTGGGGGTGGCTAGGTGTGCCCAGCAGGGCGAGGCCAGACTGGGAGGGGATCTTGGCTTGGGTGAGCTGAGAGAGCTGGAGAGGGGGGGGGCTATGCTGGGCTGGAGACGCCTGGACATCTTGTGGGTATCAAACATCCTGTGGGCATCAAACATCCTGTGGGCATGGGAAGAGAGAGAGAGAGGGGCTCCGGAGGGAAGGGGAGCCCTCCTGCCTCCCTGTGTTATCTGACTGGAGTAGGGATCTCCAACCTTGGCCACTTTAAGACTTGTGGACTTCAACTCCCAAAATTCCCCAGCCAGTTGTGCTGCTCAGTGTATGTGTTGTTCCGGCTGCGGAGTTCTGGGAGTTGAAGTCCACAAGTGTTAAAGTGGAGACCCCTGTTTCGGAGCACCAGCCCAGGACCTCCTCCAGGCTCTCACCCTCTTCCTCCTCCTCCTCCTCCTCCTCCTCCTCCTCCTCTTTCTCTTTGCACAGGACAACAGCCGGCGGGTGGACAATGTGCTGAAGCTCTGGATCATTGAGGCGCGGGACCTGCCCCCCAAAAAACGCTACTACTGCGAGCTGTGCCTGGACGACATGCTCTACGCACGCACTACCAGCAAGATACGCACGGACAACGTCTTCTGGGGGGAGCACTTCGAGTTCAACAACCTGCCGGCTGTGCGCACCATCCGGCTGCATCTTTACAAGGATACGGACAAGAAGCGCAAGAAGGACAAGAGCAACTACGTGGGCATGGTCAGCATCCCCATTGCCAGCGTCACCGGGCGCCATTTTGCTGAGCAGTGGTACCCGCTCAGCCAGCCCAGTGCCAGCAAGAGCAAGGCCGGCTGCCCGGCCATCCGGGTCAAGAGCCGCTTCCAGGCCATGAGCATCCTGCCCATGGAGCTCTACAAGGAGTTCGCCGAGTATGTCACCAACAACTACCGCATGCTGTGCGCCGTGCTGGAGCCTGTCCTGAGCGTCAAGAGCAAGGAGGAGGTGGCCTGCGCCCTGGTGCACATCCTCCAGAGCACCGGCAAGGCCAAGGTACGCTCTGGGAGCTGGGTGGGGGAGGCGAGCAGGGCCCCATCAGGAAGGGGTCCGGGAGCACCGTGGGCAGCACGGCTCCTGCAGCTTCTCTTCCGCCCCTTCCCGGCAGGACTTCCTGTCCGACATGGCCATGACGGAAGTGGACCGCTTCATGGACCGCGAACACCTCATTTTCCGGGAGAACACGCTGGCCACCAAAGCCATAGAGGAGTATCTCAAGCTGATTGGACAAAAATACCTCAAGGATGCCATTGGTAGGGGCACTGGAGGAGGGAGGGCACTTGGAGGGGGGGAGGACTCAGCTTTTCACAACCCTTAGTGGAGAGGGAGGTGTAACCAGAGGAGTTGGGATTAGATTTTGTTCTTTTTCGTGCCTCCACTCCTGGCATCTGGAAGAGAGCCAACAAGCTCTTCACCATGCCTGCTTGGCTTCCTTGGGGCAGGGCTCTGGAGCCGCACGTGGCTCTTTCATCCCTCTGCTGTGGCTCCCTGTTGCCGGTCGGCTCCACAATTGATAGGGCTTTCAGTTAGGTAGAGGAAAAAGGACGCCGCGCTAGGGTGAGACTGTATGGTGGGGGACCGGACTTCTTGTAGGCTCAAGAATTGAAGGGGGGGGGGCTTCCGATTACATCCCACATCTTTGAGTGTTTAAGGTTGCCGACCCTGCTCTGGGGAAAGTCCAGAGAGGGAGGCCTTGCAGCTCCCCTGAACACGGAGGGGAGCTCCTCTCTACCCACTGGCTGCTTTGTGTGGGGCTCAGCCGGTGGGGGCTTGAGTGGGGAGCTGCTGGTCCCATCCTCTGTTTGCCTCCCCCCCCCAGGTGAGTTCATCCGAGCTTTGTACGAGTCTGAGGAGAACTGCGAGGTGGACCCCATGAAGTGCTCGGCCTCCACCTTGGCGGACCATCAGGCCAACCTCCGCATGTGCTGCGAACTGGCCCTCTGCAAAGTGGTCAACTCCCACTGGTCAGTGCAGGGCTGGTGCCTTATCCCCACCCCCCTTTCCCCTGGGGTGTGGGGAGGGAAATGGAGGGGGTGGTCATTTTTGGATGTGCAACCTGGGGTGTGGGGCAGCCCTGCAGTGGGGGCAGGCAGTGATCCTGTTCTCCCCTGCCCCCTTCCCGCCCCAGCGTGTTCCCCCGGGAGCTGAAGGAGGTTTTTGCATCGTGGCGGCTGCGCTGTGCCGAGAGGGGCCGGGAAGACATTGCCGACCGCCTCATCAGCGCCTCCCTCTTCCTGCGCTTCCTGTGTCCGGCCGTCATGTCCCCCAGCCTCTTCGGCCTCCTGCAAGAGTACCCGGACGAGCAGACCTCCCGCACCCTCACGCTCATCGCCAAGGTCATCCAGAACCTGGCCAACTTCTCCAAGTGAGTGCGGAGGAGGAGGAGGAGGAGGCCAGGAGGCAGGGGGGGGCGGGAGGGGGGGGGCTCAAGTCAGCCGGGCCAGATGCATCCAAGGCGGTGGGAGTGAGTTTTCCACCACCCGCCCCCTGCAGAGCCCTGGAGGAGAGTCCCGTCCTGTAGTGAGGCCGGGCTCCGTCTGTCTCTGGCTCCAGCCAAGCGCCTGGGCCAGGGCCACAGGGCTGGGGCCCCTCAAGGCCCAGAAGGCAGCCAGGTCCCTCTGAAAGTCCAGTGCGAGGGAGGGAAGCGATGGAGGCAGAGAAGGTACTGAGAGGTGGGGGGGTCCACAAAGGGGATGTGGGCAGGGGCAAGGCCGGTCCCATCTCTGTCCTGGGGATGGGCATGAATGAAGGTTGCAGGGAGGTGGACTCCAGCTGAAGGTGTGGGCAGACGGAGTCGGGCAGAGGAAGCGAAAGCCCAGATGGATGGTGGGAGCCGAGGTGGAATGGATGGCCTCAGATGGCCTCCATCACTCAGGGTGGCCTCTGCCTGCATCCCTCAAGGTGGAGGGGTTGGAATGGGAGGGGTTGAGTCCATTCAAGCCCCCCAAACGTGCATTTCTTTCAAAAATACCCCTGGCCCTTCTTTCTTGGTGTGCTGCTGGCTGACTACTTGGGGGCAAATCCTGGCCTCCCCCCTCCCCCCCCCCCGCTGAGGGGGCTGGAGAGAGTGACAGACTGGCATTGCCCAAAGCGATGGGTGGGTGGGTACGCGGCTGCTGCTGTGCTTTGGGTCTCGGGGCGTGCTGGGCACTCGGGGGAGGAGGGCCGGGCTGGCAAACGGAGGGCCCCCAACTCGAGTAACGAAAGATGTGGTTCCGCCGCAGGTTCGGCAGCAAGGAGGAGTACATGGCCTTCATGAACGAGTTCCTGGAGCTGGAGTGGGCCAGCATGCAGCAGTTCCTCTACGAGATCTCCAACCTGGACACCCTCACCAACAGCACCAGCTTCGAGGGCTACATCGACCTCGGCCGGGAGCTCTCCACGCTGCACGCTCTGCTCTGGGAGGTCCTGCCCCAGCTCAGCAAGGTGCCTGCCGGGAGGGGGTGGGGCGGTGCTGGGACATGGGGTGGAGGAGGAGGGGCTGCCACCATCTGCTTGCTGGCATTGGTGTTGAGCGCCCATCTGCGGCGCCTTCCTCCCCACCTAGGAAGCCCTGATGAAGCTGGGCCCGCTGCCCCGTCTGCTGAACGAAATCAGCCTCGCTCTCAGGAACCCCCACATCCAGCGGCAGCCCAGCCACCAGGGCGAGCGGCTGCAGGCCAAGCCGGTGATCCTCCGCGGGCCCTCGGCCGAAGTGCAGTCCTCGTACATGATGCGCGACCTCAACAGGTCAGGCCTGGGACAGGGCGGGGTGGGGGACGTGGGAAGACAGGAAGCAGGTGGACGTCCAGTTGTGAGTCCCACCCGGAAATGGGCTCCGGTCTGGGCCTCTGCGGGGTTTCCTCGTGACTAAGGCCAAGAGCCCACAGAGGACCAGAGGACGGCTTCCCTAAGATGCCTACGGGAGATTTGGGGTGTGAAGAGCTTCCCCCTCGGGCTTACTCTGGATTTCTCCCCACAGCTCAGTTGACATGCAGCCCTACATGATGCGAGCCATGAACAGGTAAGGGCTGTGAGGTGTGGTCCATGGGAGGCTGGGGTCCTGCGTAGAAGTTCCCTTCCTTCCGTCCTACCAAAAGGGCAGGGCCCCTTTGCCAGCCTGGCCCCACTGTCCCTTGTGCCTTGACTGGCCTCCTGCACGTGCTGGCGGAGGAGGTGGGGAGCCACTCCACCCCTTGGCAGACTCCGCCCCCTCCTGCCCTGATCAGCTCTCCACGCTGCCTTCCTCCGCAGCTCCATCGACATGACGCGCTTGCCCTCCCCGACCAAGGAGAAGGGGTCAAAAGACATGTTCTTCGTGCCGCGGCCGCCCCTGGCCCGCTCCTCCCCCGCATACTGCACCAGCAGCTCGGACATCACCGAGCCCGACCAGAAGGTGCTGAGCGTCAACAAGAGTGTCTCCATGCTGGACCTGCAGGACAGCCGCATGAACAGCGTCTCCAACCTGCATAGTGTAGGCGACCTGCTCAACAGCAGCCAGGCCTCCATCACCGCCGGCCTGGGTCTGCGGCCCAGCCGGCTCTCCCAGGGCAGCGGCTCCAGCATCGCGGCCGGCCTGCGGCTGAGCCAGATGGGCGTCACCACCGACGGGGGTGGCCCCTCCTCTGCGCAGCAGCTCCGTATCCCCCTCTCCTTCCAGAACCCCCTCTTCCACATGGCCTCTGATGGGCCGGCCGGCGGCCCACACCACGTGTCCCATCCGCACCGGCCGGCGGAGGGCAACCCCGCTGATACCTTCGCTCCCTTCCATGGCTACAGCAAGAGCGAGGACCTGTCGGCCAGCAAGCATATCATCCACAGCCACAGCTACAGCGACGAGTTCACGCGCCAGGGCTCGGAGTTCACCAAGCGCCAGCTGTCCCTGCAGGAGAACCTGCAGAACATGCTCTCCCCGCCCCAGATCACCATCGGCCCCCAGCCCCAGCGCTCGGCCCCCGCCCCTCAGCCGCAGCCCCCCCTGCAGCGGGGCAAGTCCCAGCAGCTGACGGTCTCTGCGGCTCAGAAGCCTCGGCCCTCCAGTGGGAATCTGCTGCAGCCCGAGCCCACCTACGCCCCCACCCACACCCGCCAGCAGCCGGGCACCAAGGAGGCGCCTTCCGCCCTCAAGCCATCCATCACCAAGCAGGTGAGTGACCCAGGCAGCTGCCGCGCGGCTGGAGCCCAAGTGCCGCCCTGGGCTTGTGGCTCCTTCGATGGGCCCCTGCCTGAGGGGCCCGTCGGCAGGAAGGGAACCGTTAATGCCGGGCCCTCGTTTCTGAGCACGGAGGTTCAGGGAAAGTTTCAAAACGCATTTTGTGATCAGCCGAGGAAGCTACAATTTGGCCCCTTTTGCTTCGTTTCCTGATGACTCAACATGGAAGGTTTAAAGAAATGAATTCCAGGCCGTCCAAAGTTGGTGCCCAACGTGGTGCCAACATCCGCTCTTCTTCTCTTAGATCTGCTTTGCAGTCTACGGGGGGAGAGCAGGGGAGAGGAGGGGTCCCTTTCGGAGAAAACTGCCTCATTTGCCCAAAGGACTCCCCATCTGTCAGGGGGCCAGGGGGAGACCCCTTAGTTCCCAGGGAGGGCAGCTCTTCCCCCCAGAGGACCTCCAGGGAAGCCAGGGCCCCCCCCCCACAGCCCCCGCTCCTTGGGCAGGGAAGCGAGACTGCTGGCTGGGACCCAACTCCCAGGCGCCACGGCCGGCACTGCCCCACGGACCCACAAAGGACACCCTGAATGGGTGACCCTGCTTCCCTGCCAAGCGTGGGCTCGGGGCTCCCTCGGATCAGCTTTGAAAGATACAGAAGAAGGAGACCCATTGATTTCCCACCCCTTTGCGACTTGGGTCTCCTTCCTAAAGAGAAGAAGGAAGGCGCCACCCCTGGGCCTTTTCCCAAGGTCCCCATTCTGGCAAGTGGCGGTTGTGTGGTTTGTCTTACCGCAACCTGAACCAGCTCAGCTTGGAAAGTCTTCTGTTCTCGTTCCTCAAAACTGGGAGGGCTTCCTGGGGGGGGGGAGGAGGCGCCCCTCTTCTCTCTGCTCTCATTGATAGCCTCGCCCTGCAATGTAGGAGGGATTGCCTTCAATTTTGCAGCTACTAGGATTGTTGGCTAAGCAGAGACAAAAACAGCTTGAGAAATAATTGGAGCCTGGGGGCCCCTTGTCAGTCAAGAGGTGTTCTGATTTGACATAATAACAGAGTTGGGACCTTGGTGGTCTTCGAGCCCAACCTCAAGCAGGAGACCCCAGGCCATTCCAGACACGTCCGGTCTCTTCTTAAAAGCCTCCAGAGATGAAGTCCTCACAACAAACAGTTTCTACTATTGAGCTAAGTTTCACCTAATCTGCAGCTGTGCGTTTGGTTCTTCTTGCCGAAGTGTAGTATGACGGTTATGCTCAGCTTATCAGATACTTGGGAACTGAGGATGCAGCGGTGCAAGGAAAGCGACAATAGCCAGACATCAACACCCTCACCAACCACCAAAGCCTCCATGCGACCAGGACCCCTCTGAGCACCACGCGCAGAGCACCTCAGGGCACGTATCCTGGAGAGAGTCCCAGAGCTTGGAAGATTAAGTGTTTGTCCCCCATGATTGAGTCAGATTGGATCCTGCAAAGCCTCTCGCTGCCCCCTCCCCCCGCCCACCCGGGGTGATGTGGGATAGCAGCCTTTCCCTCGGTGTGGACGGAGGAGGAGGAGAGGCGCAGTCTGTGAGAAAGCCGCAGTGTCGATGTAGGGGAGACACGGGACAGATTTTGCTGCAGGCGATCGCCATGGCCGTGAGTGTCGGCCCTGCCGAATGGAAGGAGTCCGTGGACGGCCCAGGAAGGAGCCACCCATGGGGGGTTGTGGCCCCCTTTGTCCCCTGGGGCCATTGTGAGCCCAGGCATGGCTGCAGCCCACTCCTTCCAGAATGAATAGCAATAGCAGTTAGACTTATATACCGCTTCATAGGGCTTTCAGCCCTCTCTAAGCGGTTTACAGAGTCAGCATATCGTCCCCACAGTCTGG